GTGTCTCTCCCCCCTGCCGCCCCCCCCGCCCCCCGGTGCCGGCACAAAGCTGGCGGAGCTGGGTCGGGCCGGGCCCGGGGCCGGTGGGGTTGGGGTTGGGGTCGGGGCCGGGATGATGCGGACCCAGTGCCTGCTGGGGCTTCGGACCTTCGTGGCCTTCGCCACCAAGCTGTGGAGCTTCCTGTTGTACATGCTGCGGCGGCAGGTCCGCACCGTGAGTGCTGGGACCCCCCTGGGAGGGGCTGGGGGTTGGGGGGCACAGATCAGGGCCCCTGAGATGGCTGGGGCGTGGGTCAGGAGTGGGGGCTTGAAATGGGAGAGGATGTGGATTACAGCGGAGGGGAGAAATGGTTCAGGATCAGGTCTAGGGTTGAGACCGGAGATGGGGCAAGGGGTTGGGCTGGGACCTTTGCGGGGCCAGGGTGGGGGTGTCTAGAATGGATCAAAATTGGAACTGAAGTTGAGGCGGGGGCTCGAACTAGAATGGATCAGAATCGGGGCCCTTGGAATGGGAGAGGGGGAGGGAAATGGATCAGGATCGGGACCAGGAGCAGGGCCTTTGGGCGGGGGGCGGTGTTGTTGCAGAGGGAATGGATCAGGATTGGGACCGGGGGTTGAGCTGGGATGGATCAGGATCGGTGCCCTTGGAATAGGAGGGAGGGAGTTGTTTGGTGTGGGGGAAGGGAAATGGATCTGGATCAGGGTCTCTGATATGGGAGGGGAGTTGTTGGAAATGCAGGGGGTGGGGGGGAATTCATCAGGAACTTGTGGTAGGAGGGGAGGGTTTAAACTGCTCCCCCTGCCCCCCACAGTCTCACTGGATCTGCTCATCTGATCCCTGGGGCCCTGCCTCCCCGCCCAATTTAAGGATTTGGGGGTGCAACTCCACCTTGATCACCTGGGGGCAGTGAGGGAACTGACCTGCCTGGTGGAAAGTGGAACTGATGGTGTTGATCGCCACTTCTGGCCTCAGCTAGTGCTTGTTGTAGTTGTGTGTGTTGTGGGGGGGTGGGGAACTTAGGGACTGAGTGCATTGGGTGAGGCAGGAACCCAGGAGTCCCGATGTCTAGCTTCCTTGTGTTGAATAAGAGCCTGCCTTGCCCTGGAGAACCCAGGTATCCTGGCTCCTGGCCTCTTCCAGCCGAAGAAACCTGACTGCTGGCCCAGAGTAGGGATTGAACCGAGGCGTCCGGGCTCCCAGTGCCCCCGCTGCTTGAACCCACTAGCCCCCCACTCCCCTCCCAGAGAACAATCCAGGCTCCCCTTCCCACCACCCACCTCCGTCAGGGAACCCAGGAGTCCTGGCTCCCCCCTGCCCCCATCTCTCTGTACCTGGAGCTGGGTGGGGGAAGTAGCTTAGTGCCTCAGTTTCCCCATGGGAAGCTCACTGTGGTGTGGGGATTATTTGGGGAGGGGGTGGGGGGAGTCTGCACAGCAACCAGGTAGGGGGAGGGTATCTGTGTGTGTGTGTGTGTGTGTGTGTGTGTGTGGGGAGCATTGCAGTGAGAGGATGCAGTGCATTGGAGGGCACGGTCGGATGCTGCGGTGGAGGTGGCGGGGAATGAGAGTGCCTGGAAGGACTGGGGTGGATTGAGATTGCAGTGAATGAGGAGTGCAACGGACTGAGTCTGCTTGCAGTGGAGGTGAGGGGTCACTGGCAGCTGCAGTGTAGGCCCAGGGAGGCTCCCAGAATCTGGAGAGAACCTGGGTGTCTGAGCTCCCAGCCCCTGAGTGTTCTGACACCCCACCCCCCCGATCTGGTGATGGCAGTGTTTGCAGTTGGGTATAGTACAGTGTTTGGTGTGTTGAAGTGCTGCGATTGCAGTAAGGGGCACTATCGTGGGTGGGTGAGGTGAAGGGTGCAGTGAGACACTTGTCTGCAGTGGTAGATGCTGGGCTTGGCGGGTAGTGTTGGCCTCGAGGTGCTGTGATTGCAGTGAGGAGCTGGTGGGTGCAGTGAGAGTGCACTGGCCAGGGGGAGCTGCAATGTCTGGTATGATGGGGATGGACTGGGGTTGCAGTGTGAGGGCTAGCGGTTGCAGTGAGAAAATGCAGTGACCACAGGGATTGGGATTGTAGTGGGGGGCTGGCAAATGCAGAGAGACAATGCAGTGACCATGGGGATTGGGGTTGCAGTGAGCAGCTAGCAGGTCCAGTGAGAAGATGCAGTGACCTGGTGGGGGTAGCAGCACTGCAGTGAGGGACTGGCAGGTGCAGTGACAAGATGCAGTGGTGGGGGGGATGCTGTGCCTGATATGATGGGGTGGTGGACTAGAATTGTAGAGAGGGGGACAGTGGGTTCCCTGGGGTAGGTGCAGTGCATTGGTAGTTGTAGTGATTATCCAGCAGGTTTGTGATTGCTGAGATGTGCAGTGGTCATACATGGAGGGATTGTGTTGGTAGCAAGGGTTACAGTGCACTGCCTCCTATGTTGGGGTGCCCAGGGTAGGAGAAGAACCAGGCATCTGGGCTCAGTCCAGCTTTGTCTTTGAAGGCCCCAGGCCAGGACAGGTGCTGGCCGGGTGTAAGGCACCGAAAATAGCCCTGGCCCAGCTGGGGGTGACGGTCATGTGGGGTGAAGACCAAGCCAGGCGCACGCGACCTGCCCAGACAGGGGGGTGAGAATGGGGGGTGCTGGGAGCCCAGATGCCTGGGTTCTTTCCTTATCTCTTTGTCCTGCACCTTTCTTGGGGGGGGGGGCTCTGCCATCCCATTGGAGCAGTGCCCAGCAGGGGGTGCTTTCCCCTTGCTTGGAGCAAGCTGTTGCCCCTAGATCAGGCCCAGATTGGGGCCTCTGGAGGCAATGCTCCCCCCGGCCAAGATGCTCTGGATGCTGGGTGGGGGGAGGCTTCCCCTGACTCCCCTGGTATGTGTGTAACCCAATCCCCAGAGCTGGATGAAGCTGCCTGGGGTCACATCGGGGCATTACCCCCCCGAAAACCTTCCAGTCCAGCTCAGTGCCCCCCTCCTAATTCAAGGAGCAGGGGTGCTGCCACGATCGGGCCCTCTGGGGTGGTGTGGATCTTGGCCCCAAGCCCATGGACAGGTACCAGGGGCAGCAGCTGGGTTGTTAAAATAGCCCTGGCACGCAGGGGAAGGGCAGATAGTGTTGGATGGGGAGGGGATATAGCTCACCAGGTTTGGCAAGACCCAGTCAGGGCTGTTGTGGGGGGCCTGGATGCCTGGGTTCTTCTTTGCAGTTTGGGATTGGGGGGGGAGGGTGTGGGGGGGAGGTCCAGTGGGATTGAGCAGAAGGTTGAGATGCCAAACACCTGGGTTCTCTGTCAGCCTTGGGTCCAGTGGGCTAGACAAGGGCATGGCCAGGAGCCCAGATGTGTCTTTTTTGTTTTTCACTGGGGGGCGGAGGACACCAAA